AGCCCGCTATTCCCAGAACTTCCGTGGATGTGACTCCTCTTTTCCAGAATGGCAGGAATTTTTCTCCCTCTGGACTGTGTGATGGAATACGCTGAAGCCTATGCATGTTTACCAGAATATGCAGAGAAGGAGGGAAGGAAGGAGGGAGAAGACCCACCTCTGGGCCCCCAACTGAAAATCCCTACCAGCTGAGTTGACGCACTCCTCCAGTCCTTCCAGACCAGGCAGAGAGCTAGGGGGCTTTAGGTCTGGCAGGGGGATCTTAGACCACCATTCCGGCTTCTAGTTTGCTAATATAATAAAAGACAAGTCAAACTTTATTTAAAGTGATGTGGAAAGCAATATGGATATCTTTTTTAGGGGAGGTGTTTCTTATATCACTTTATTCATTACCTTGCCATTGGTTTACCTTTCTTTTTGGTGGTTTGTTAATCCCCATCTTATCTGATTGGCTGAGAAGGACAGTGGATTTGTAGTCATAATCCCCATTTTATCTGATTGGCTGAGAAGGACAGTGGATTTGTAGTCATAACTCAAATAACGAAGTGGAGTCTGTAGATGTGTTGTTCTTAAAAGATCTCTCCCGGAGTGACGTCATCTGAAGCCTTGCTTTCCTCTCCTCCTCCTCTCTCCCTTCTTTTCACCCTTCACTGCAAGCTGAAACATCTGCTCACTAAAACACCGCTTTTTCTTCCTTCCGTTTTTTCTGGTTCTTTTCCCGCCGTCATGAACAACTGAGCTGAGCTTTCTCTCCTTACTTAAATTACACCATTTTGGCGGCTGAAGTGGGAGATGTGCAGAAGGAGAGTGGGTGATGGATGGAGCTGGAGAAGTGGAGAAGGAGAGGATGAGGTAAAGAATGCTGGTGAGTGACTTCAGTATTCCATGGAAAGGGCCAGCGCAGTAGAGGAGAGGGAATCGTGCACTGTAAACCACTTAGCTACTATCTTACGCTGTACATGGCCTGACACAATGAAGAACAAACCACCAAAAGCTCTTACACTAGCTTAAAGAAAACAGGTTCTAAATCTCTGTAGCAAAGCTTATTTCACACAGGATGAGGAAAAATAAGTCTTTGTTTATGTGAGAAACACAGGCAATATCATACAGCAATAGGTTCACTATAACACGGTTCAGGGACTTTATGATCAAATCAAACTGATTTGTAATGCCCTTTCTACATCAGCAGATGTCACAAAGTGCTTATACAGAAACCCTGCCTAAAACCCCAAACAGCAAGCAATGCAAATGTAGAAGCTATGTTTATTCGGTTCGGTATAGTCTGTTATGCCAAATAAACCACCACTTCCACTATTCCCCTGAAATGAATATAAGGTATTGTTATCGCTGGTCTGTGGTGCTACTGTGGCAGCATGCTAGGTGTGCTTGCCTCTCACTCCAGGGAAGGGTGCATCATCACACAGTTTGCCATGACAGATGGTCGGGGACACTCGTCCCCACAGCGATTATGCAAGAAGTGTGATTTCACTCTGTCACACTGGGTTTGTGTTGGTGCTGCATGCAGTAAATAGGCCTATGTGTGTATTGTAGCTGTAGCTAGCTGTCTGCAGGTCTAGATGGTCTAGATACTGTACACTGTGTGTATATCTAATGTCCCAAGAGAGCCGGTTAGCATTTGCTTACTGTCAAGGTAGCCCGTGTCACCATGCCCTTATGTAACCCTCTGTGTCTCAGCCCAAAAGAACAGAGAGTTGGAGAAAAATGGGGGGACTTAATGTTATCCACTTAACCTGTCACAGGAATCTACTCTGATATAGTCTGTTGAAAAATTGGTGGGAAAGAAAGCTGTGGATGGAGTATAACTATGATTTATGCTTACAGTATTGTCTTGCTGTGAAAACAGAGTTATTAGTACATTCAATTCAATAAGGTGTAGCCTATTTATCCCCCAAGGGACAATTATTTTTGTTGGGCTGAAATTGTAAACGCAGACAACGTATAACAACATGACACATACTAGGACTGACTCCATTTAGTCAACGGGATCGATTGTTTGGTCAATAGGCTGTTGGAGATTTCTTTCTTGTTTTTTCATGGTGCACAACACACCTGTCTGATTCGCGCCTGTCTCAGAGGACTAATCCATTGCGGAGGCCTTGGGGATGGCACAATCCATCACTGTAAGACGTGATACTGAACTTGTATATGGTAATATTATGTCAAAATAATTGTGCAACACTAATGAATCTAATATGACTTTAGAACAAATGCGCTTTCTCCCACGTTGGATTCGGTCGCTGTCCGCGGTTCTGAAACATAATCTTCAGTGCGCCGTAGAATTGGCGCCTTTCCCTATGTTGCTATGTGCATAATAGCAAAGTTAACCAGCATATTAGGATTGAGAACATTGCGGCGGAGGAAGCAGCAGCAGAGACGAGGAAACAGCCCTTGCCTTAGCCTAATTGTCTAAGAAAATTGAAGAGAAAGGAAACCCCAACTTAATTAGGTCTATAATCAATAGCCTAACTGTAAAATGTGCCTGCCTTTATAAATCATCCATATATATATACAGAAATAACACAGATCTTGCTTCTGTTGCCTGTTTGAGTGTTTGTTTAATTGGCTACTGATTCTGTGAGCAACGGCAAAATGTCGGATAAAGCAATTTCACAGATTCTGCTGTTTTTTTGTCTTTGCTATGCTGTAATAAAGGCTTTACAATTTGTTTCCGTTACAAAAGACTGGTATTACTTATTATTTAGTGTTGTTTACACTGTTCCAAACAGGCAGAACAATACAATTGTAATCTAACAGCACCTGTTTCTCACACATAATATGCACGCAGCCCTCGCTCCTATACGCACCTTTTTCTTGATCTCCTTATTTTTATTACAATTATTATTATGATCATCATTATAATAATAAGTAATGTCGTTATCATTAGTAGGCTTTGTATAGTAGCCTTGTATAACCGCCATTGAGCTGTAGGCCTAAGAGCGTGTCAAGTTGAGTCTTAATACCGTAACTTACTTAGGCCTATATTTCAATATATAGGCTACTGTATCAATCAATCATTCATTCGTTCATGCCATCACACAGCATATGAGACCTTAATGCTTTGAAATACAATCAAGCATTTTAGTTTTGCAACTGTTTTTAGTCTGCTCTAATAAAGGCTTTATATATCTGTTTTCCCATTAGAACAGACTCTCTGTACACTTATTTATTTAGTGTTTAAACTGTTCCAAATGGTCAGAAAAAATTATATTGTAATCTAACAGCAACTGTTTGGCACACATAATACTCACGCAATGCTTGCTCCTGTACCCTCCTGTTTCTTGATCTCCAGTAGTTTCCACAACTAATTCAAATGTCTTCAGTACGGACAGCGCAATAAACACTTGCTGTGCTGTGGTGCCTTTTCTCTGCAGTAGGGAGGAAAGTGAGACAACGTGCGCCAGTCACACAGGCAATCGCTGTCATTTTTTTTTAACACAGTGTGACTTTCTTGAGTCATTTGTGTGTCTTAATTATTTAACCAAACAGTGTGCTTAAAGCATTAGACAAGCTCAGTGCATATGTAGTTGATTTTATTCAAACACATAGGCTGTCTGTCTAAGTTTAAACATTTCGACCAATCGATTGGTCGAAAGAACAGGACGACTCTTGGTCAACCAAGATTTTTTGTTGTTGTTGGGGACAGCCCTAATACATACATAACCGTCACTTAAAATTTCACTGCAGGATTCTAGTTTTCTGTAGTAGTTCACTTGAATAGCCATTCTCTCAGGATTCAGCTAATCCCTCCACGTCCCAGGTGGCAGCCTGGCTGTCTGCTGTAGAGCCACGTCCACCAACATGTTTACAGAAATCACACTTCGCTGTTTGGTTGAGAGGCTGTTGAATGTCTAAAACGAATACAAAGGCCTCCCAAAGCACAATGTGTCCCTTTCAGATAAGTTTTAAACTGATTGAGCTCCATTGACGATGAAGTGTCTTTGGCCGTTTCCTCGATGCCTTTCATGTGTTAACCCCTGTGACTCCTTAGCTGTGGTATGCATACGTTAGTAGTGCTAGTGCCCATTTATCAGTCAGAAGGCCCCTACATTTTAATCAGGCAGTTGGAGGGCCTACTAAACCTTTACTGAGGGTGTAAACATGGCGTCAGTATGTGTTTGGGAGGCAGAAGGGTGTGTTGTGAGTATTCTATACAGTTACTGTGGTTAGACTTTAAAAGTAACGACATCCCACTATAAGGCTGGAAATACACTGGTCATGGTCAGGGGATTGACACTGTAGTCAGCTGTGACCTTTTTCTAGGTCACATGTTATAGGGAAACAACCTTGTTTGGTACTTTGGGTGTTGTAAGATGAGTCAAATTCACTAATAGTCTGAATATCAATTTCTATAAACAATTGTGCAGTATCACTATTTCTCATTTAGCATATAATGAAAATTGGAAACATCATTGCTAAACTATAAAATCATTGCTAAAAGTCACACTGGCTGTAGTTTGTATTGCAACTTGAAGATTAATTTCCTTATTTGTAGTGTACAACCATAAACAAATCCTCCTGGCTATAACTCTGTAGTTGGCAGTCTCCTGTATGATGAGGGCCGCGGTTTTATGTACCTAAGAAACAAGGGGTGTATCAGGTGTACACTAACAGGTGAGGTCACTATTCAAACCACAACACATTCTGTGTTAAAGTGAAAGCACCCATGACAAGAGTTAAGACAGGAGTTACATTGTGAAGCCACCTCCCACTCCCATACACCCTTCCACGTTGACTCATTGAATCGATGTTCATTTGTCGGTTCCAAATTATTGTTAACGTTTGATATATTTACCTTGTCGCCGTGTGCTCAAACTGGACTTTGGAATATTTATTGTACTCACTTTAGTAGAAGTGAGGCACCTATATGCCAAACATGATGTAACTGTCATTGGTCACTGGTTGACCTTTGAACTGCCTGGTGCAGACTGAGTTTCCTGGAGGAGCTGCTGTGAGTGTGTACTCGACTCCTGTAGACAGTCATGGTGGACAAGGCATGGAGGAAGAGTTGGCAGTTCATCGAGAACAGGATGTCTCTGCGTGTGAAGAAGCAGTCTTCTCCCACTGTTGAATGTAAGCGTGAGTGAGTACCCTCTCCTGTTTGACTATATGCTGGGTTGAAGGGTTGCTCTGGTTAGTTTGTTGATGCTCTACTTCATTCTTACTGCTGTGTGATCATGTTTTTATCAATATCCTGACTGTGTTGAATTTATTCATAGAGATTGGGTTGGTGACGTGTTAGAGAATGAATAGGGCCGTTACAGTCATATTTCAAATAGTAATCAAGGCAGACGCACTTACATGCGCTTTTAATCAGTGCACAGTGTTGAGAAGCTGATGTAGGCTGTGTCTAGAAATATAAGTATCAGCACTTCTGAGAAACAACTGCCGTATTTACCCATGTGAGTCGTGTTGTTGCTGAATGCTGCTTTACCACCAACTATGCAGTATTGGCTCTTTAATGAAGTTTCTAAACACACAGGAACACGGACTTCAGCCCTCACTGTTTCCATTGGCTGTTTTCATTTAGACATCCACAGCTTAGTTGGAATTCATGCCGTGGGTACTTCATTCGTAGACATTTCCTGAACTGATTCAGCAGCACAGTGTTTAAAGTAATATACACACTATGAAATAATGACAGTGCCAAAAGAGTACTGAATGGTCAATGTTGGTGGTGATTACCGTACTTAATAGGTTCTAGAGTAATAATGGATGAGATGCCTACTCAATTTGTGTCAGTGTGGGATGAGTATTGAGAGAGCAGTGGATGAGCACAGGCTATGAAAGCTTTGAGTGACTGTATTTCTCTGTATCATTGCAGTCTGGTGAAGGCTGAACACTTGAGTAACTGTATTTCTGGCTGTGTAGTCGCAGTAGACTAACTGTGTATCTCTTCCTCTGTGGCATTGCAGTGTGGAGGGGGATGCACGGCCCAGTGAGAGCGACGGCGGAGCAAGCTACAGGGGTCCAGTGATAAGCCCAGACCGCTTCGAGGGCCCCCTCTACGGCCACGGGGTGCAGCCGGGCCCCCAGCGGCCCCCTCGCAGGCCCAAGCTCCAGCACTCGCAGTCCATCCTTCGCAAGCAGGCCGAGGAGGAGGCCATCAAACGCTCCCGTTCGCTCTCCGAGGGCTATGAGCTCTCCGCTGACCTCCAGGACAAGCAGGTAGGGTATCACTGTTTCATTGTCTTCAGACCCACTTATCAACATCTATACAGATGTCCTAACCTATATACTGTATGTCCTATATATACACTTATAAAGCCATTTTGCACAAACTCCCACATTACCTGACATCTTTAATTATCCATGAAGTACGAGTTGCCAAACCAGATCACAGGGATGGCTAACTCTGGAAATTCCGTCTGTTGCTACAGACTTTGGAAAAACAGCTTTTTGTTTCTTTGCACTCCATGTATGGAACAATCTTCAGAGTTCCCTACAAATGGATGTATTGGTGCCTTTCGGGCAGCTCAGTGTTGATTGAGGACCTCTTTGCTGAGGAATGTTTTTCATAAGTGTGTTTTTTAGTTGTATTTTTTTATAATTTTTAGTTGTATTTCCTATGTGTAATTTTGTTGTGTAATTGTAAGATGCAGGCCTCCCTTGCAAAAGAGACCTTGGTCTCAATAGGACTCCCTGTTAAAATACAGAAGAAGAAAAAATCTCCCTTACTGAACTACTGTATCATTGACCACACTACACACACTCTAACTGAGCATCTACAGATACCTTTGAGAGAGAAAGAACAGTGGCATTGCTTTGCTACAAGTTCTCTGCTCATCCTTGAAATTTGTATTACTAAGAAATGATAGCCATTTTCCCTGGCAAGCTCAATTCAGTCCCACAAGTGTTTGAGCATTGGTCATCATTTGTGAAATGGTGTTGCGCTGTAATCATTGTCCTATAATCAAGAAGTTGTGATAATCTGTTCTCCTCTGTCCGTCAGGTGGAGATGCTGGAGCGTAAATATGGCGGACGCTTCATAACCCGGCATGCAGCCCGCACCATCCAGACAGCCTTCCGCCAGTACCAGATGAACAAGAACTTTGAGCGTCTCAGGAGTTCTATGTCTGAGAACCGCATGTCCCGACGCATCGTTCTGTCCAACATGAGGATGCAGTTCTCCTTCGAGGGCCCTGAGAAAGTCCACAGCTCCTACTTTGAGGGGAAACAGGTGTCCCTGACAGACGACGGCACCCCCCTAGCCTTGGTACAGTCTGAGTGCGGGGACCTGGAGGTCCACCACCAGGCCAACATGGCGTCTCACCCTGCCTCCCAGAACGACCTGACTGACGCCATCACGGAGCTGGAGGACGCCTTCTCCAGGCAGGTGAAGTCTCTGGCCGAGTCCATCGACGACGCCTTGAACTGTCGCAGCCAGCAGGGAGACGAGGGTCTTGACCCTGAGGCCATGGGCTGCCCCAAGGTGGAGAGGGAGGTGGCCTATCAGGTGAAGCCTCACCGCGGGGCGACGGGACGCATGCGAGAGGACATGATGGCATCCTACAGCGATGTGACTCTGTTTATCGATGAGGAGGAGCTGTCTCCCTCTATGGGGCTGTCGCGAGGGTCAGCTGACCAGCCCTCCAGCATTGAGTCAGACCTCCGCCTGCGCTCAGCCAACTCCTCCCAAGAGTACTGGCCCCTGGACCCCAAAGACGAGGGGCGTGACACGGACACCAGCTGCCGCAGCACACCCTCCCTGGAGTGCCAGGAGCAGCGGCTCAGGGTGGACCACCTCCCCCTGCTGACCATCGAGCCGCCCAGTGACAGCTCCGCCGAACACAGTGACCGCTCTGACCGCAGCTCCGTCAAACGGCCGCCCGTCTATGAGCCGCACGGGGGCAGCCACATCGTGGCATCCTCCCAGGCCAGCCCCAAACACATCTCTCATGGCCCACCCCCGCGGGCGGCCTCCCGGGACGACGAGGCGCCCCTCCGCCACCGCCACCGGGCGCTGGAAAGCCACCTGGCCATCAACGGCTCGGCCAATCGGCAGAGCAAGTCTGAGTCTGACTTCTCGGACGGGGATAACGACAGCATCAACAGCACGTCTAACTCCAACGACACTATCAACTGCAGCTCTGAGTCATCCAGGGACAGCCTAAGGGAGCAGACACTCAGCAAGCAGACGTACCACAAAGAGACACGCAACAGCTGGGACTCGCCGGTCTTCAGCAACGATGTGATCCGCAAGAGGCACTATCGCATCGGCCTGAACCTCTTCAACAAGTAGGTGCTCAGCTCTGACAGAGTGCTAACTTGGTTGGCCACTGATTGGTTTAATTAAGGGTCAGTGAGCAGAGGGTTCCTCATAGACCTACCTACAGTTATCAGGGTTGTATTTGGGCCACACAATATAAGGCAATCAGTCTAATTCAAGTAAATTAGCAAGGTTAAAGACAAGTCCTATGAAAATGAAAAAATGCATATGATTTGTATAAGGTAGGCCTATAGGTAAGGCATATATTTGTGCATTCGCATAATCTCTTTGTAGACTCATGTCTACTTATAGGACTGATATACTGTAGATGAGAAATTCAGACAGATGCACTTTTGCAGTCCATCAGTTTATCCTCTACTACATACAGCCAGACAGAGTTGCTCTATTTTCTGTTCCCTTATTAAATATGAACCACCCTGTTCCTGCTGTGGCCACTTCCTATCAGTCACAGAATCAAACACCACACTTGGCTCTGTAGAATGACTGGATAGGTCACATAAGGACACGCATGCTTTAGAAAGGCCTAATTTTGATGTCACGCCAGACCTTTTTCAGTAGGGTCACCTTGGGTGTCAGTCTTATTGTCTGCTTCACTATAAACACTAACCCTCCTTTCTTGTGTGTGTGTGTCTGCAGGAAGCCAGAGAAAGGCGTCCAGTACCTGACTGAGAGAGGGTTCGTCCCGGACACACCTGTGGGTGTGGCTCACTTCCTGCTTCAGAGGAAGGGTCTGAGCAGGCAGATGATTGGAGAGTTCCTGGGCAACCGTCAGAAACAGTTCAACAGAGACGTCCTGGAGTGAGTACTGTTGATTGGTCATTTTTAAAGGCCAGGTCATGTGACCGGACCAGGAAAATCTCTGGACACTCGTTATTGTCTATCAATCCACCATCGATTGGGAGATCACAATAATGCCTTGCACAGATAGCATTATACTGTAGGCCAGGCCAGGCCAGAACAATAGATGTACTGTACCGAGTTCAGCAAACTATCCTCCATCTTCGCATTCACCGCTCCTAATTTATATCCTAACTGGGAGGTAATTGTCTTGGAACAGTTGGTGCCAACATTGTGCCCATTAAAATTCTACATCTCAAACTAAGATGGCCGAACTTTGTATATCTGTGGCCTTGGGCCAGCCTAGTAGAATGTCCACACTCTGCTTCTCTCAACAATCTGCTGCTCCTCACACTTGGCCTCGCTCAAATGTGCTTCATGTCATTTTAAAAGGACTATTAGGTGGTTCCCTGTCAGATTTGGACAAATCTTGAACTGCTGGGTGCAGAATTCCCCCCTGATCCGCGTGTTTCAGCTGGGTAGTGAATGAGATTGACTTTTGTAATAACCACTTTTCCACATGTAGATTTGTACTAGAGGAAGGGGGAGAAAGTAAGGAACTTGTCTGTCGGCCTTGCATTAAAGAACATAATTGGTTAAGGAAAACTGTGATAAATAAAAAAGGATATCAGTTTCACTTAAGGACCAAAGGATTGACAGCCGTCCCATATAGATTGCAAAATAGTTAGGAAGAGAATTTTGACGTACCGATCCCATGGCATAGTGTTTATGAACTGACACGCAAAACGACACCGGATTCAAAAATTTTAATCTTTCAATTTAAATTATTATATAAAATTCTTGCTACCAATAGAATGTTATTTATATGGGGGATACAATCTTCCCAGCTCTGCAGATTTTGCTGTGAAGAGACAGAATCATTAGATCATTTGTTTTGGTTCTGTCCATTTGTAGCTTGTTTTTGGACACAGGTCCAGGAATGGCTAAAGGATTGCAATATTTACCTGGAGCTAACCTTGCAGATAGCATAACTGGGTGATCTGAAAAGTCATAGTCAATCGATCAATAATATAATAATACTTTTAGCAAAAATGTTTATTTTTAATTCACAATCTGTAGAAGCAATGAGAATAGAAAGGTTCAGAACTTTTGTAAAACATCACAGTACGGTTGAAATATATATGGCAAATAGAAATCCTATATGGATGGTATTAAGAGATAGATGGGAGGTATTGAATGGAGTTGAAGGATGGGACTAATTACAAATAACAACAAATAATAACAAGAACTAATAATGTAAGCATACTGTGTCCATAATAAGTATATAGGTTGTATGTTGGGAGCTTTTGGGAAAGAGCACAGTTAGAAAGATATGGCATATAGAAGCAAACCGGATGGACATCATGAAAATGATCGGAGAGGTTGAGAGTAGAAGTTCAGGAGCAAAAACAAAAAAAACAAATAAAATAGAATTATTGTAAAATGGACTGTGTCCATAAGGTGTAGATAGTATGTATAGGCTGGAAGTAGAGGCCTGGGCATTGTTGTTCACTAATTTACCCCAAGTAGGGTAAGGATGGCGGGGATGAAAAGTAATAAAGGGGAGTATATATATAAAAAACATGGGGGATTGGAAGTGATGCAGACAATTACATTGATAGAAGTTACAATCTATCTGCAATATTAAGCTAATCTACCCCCAAAAAATAAAATAATAATAATAATAATAATATATACCCATTGATTCTTGAACCTTATACTCCACTGTTTGTAAACAAAGTAAATGTAAACGAACACTGTATATCCTCAAAACATGGTTAAAACTTTAATTTGTATATCATGGATGGTCAGTCCTTGCATACATAGCGCTCACTTTGATTTTGAGAGTGGTTACATTTCTCCAGGCCCATCCCTCAGCTTTTTACCAAAACAGAGGTGGGGTGACGGCTTTGTTATTGTTTCAATTAAGGATTCCAGCTTGAAATACTATACAAATCAGTTACATATTTGTTGGTTAGGGAATTAATTGGTTGGTTGGTTGGTTGTGTGTGTGTTCCAGCTGTGTGGTGGATGAGATGGATTTTTCGTCAATGGAGCTGGACGAGGCACTGAGAAAGTTCCAGAACCACATCCGGGTCCAGGGAGAGGCCCAGAAGGTGGAGCGCCTCATCGAAGCCTACAGGTGAGACAACAGATACACAGGTCAGAGAAGCATATACTAGGTAGACAGCCAGGTTAGGATGGGGGGACATATAAGAACACATATAGACTGAGGATGAGAGGCTATTCACATAGACAGGTTTGGCCAAGAGGGTAACACAGGTCAGTGTTAGCATCAAAAAAAATTATAACAGTGTAATCAACATCAACCAAAATACTATAATCGCTAGTGTTACTGCACATTAGTTTCGGATAATGTTTCATCTCTTACGAGTGACTAATAGTTCTTCACTCTTTTGCATTACATTTTCAAATGTAATGCAAACGTTGACCAATGTATTGGAAATGCAAGTCACTGCTGGCTTTGCACACAACACTGTGTTGGCTAAATTACTTATTAATGCGTATAGGGACTCAGTGTTTCAGTTACTTTTGCTTGAGTAAATAGGACACTTCCTCACGCAATGCTGCAATAATGATGACATGGTACACACACAATGCTGACAGTTATTGACCTTCATCTGATGCATTGTATCCTGACCTTACAGAATTTTCACCAGCAAGTCAACAAGACAAATGTTGACATTGTGTGGACAAAAACAAGTTTTATATTCAAATGCATTCTATGATGGCTCTTTATATCAAAGGCCTCTGACTCTTTCGACCTCTGACGTGTGATGTCATCTCCCTTTCCTGTTTCTCTTTATTCCAGCCAACGCTACTGTATCTGTAACCCCACGGTGGTGCGACAGTTCCGGAACCCTGACACCATCTTCATCCTGGCCTTCGCCATCATCCTCCTCAACACAGACATGTACAGCCCCAACGTCAAGCCAGAGAGGAAGATGAAGCTGGAGGACTTCGTCAAGAACCTCCGAGGTGAGAGAGAGGAGGGAATGTCAGGGTTTCTGAAGACAAAACGGAGACATTGTCCTCTACATACTTTAGAGAAAATAAAGAATGATAAAATCAACTAAAAACGGCATCAAGTGAGTGTAGGACATTCACAATGTGATTGCTTCACCGCTTTAACAAGGCACACCTGTAACAATGCTATCTATCTGGATTAAAAGGAGAAAACGCATATCCACTCCAGCTCAGCAGGACAGAAGAGGGGCAGAGAATAAGCTACAGGCTCCACAGTCCACAGACAGAATGCTACTGTTCTGTCACGACAATATTGTTTATTTGTGCTACGTGATTAGCATTTCAATCATGAAAGCAACATTTTCATCACACACAGATTAAAATAATACCTTTTTCATAGGGCGGGTGATGGCAGCATGTTGACTATCTGAAGAGGCTGTCATGTTACGTGTGTTAAAATTGCATTTCACTATCTGGCAGCGTCTGGCAGTTCACAAGGGCAGGCTGTGAGTGGCTGTTTGAGATAGAGGTGTTTGGGTTTAAAAAAGATCGCTGACTATGATAGAAATGTGTTAAAACGCTGATTTATTGCTCCTTCACTCAATCACATTAGCATTTCTTATTCTTGGGTGAGCAGTGTGATAAAGCACAGTCAACTATTTGTTGTCTTTTGCTTGGCATTTGAGATTTTATTCGAGAAATAAAGCATGACGGGCTGATTCATCATCTATCGCGATGAGTGTCAGTAATGGTAAAACAACAAGAAGTAATTGGCTAAGAGGGATTGATATTCTCAGTCTAAATGAAAAGGACAAAGTGTGTGTGTGTGTGTGTGTGTGTGTGTGTGTGTGTGTGTGTGCGCCTCTGTGTGTGTGTGTGTGAGTGTGTGTGTAACAGTTGTCTCCTCTCCTCCCCAGGGGTGGACGATGGGGAGGAAATCCCCAGGGAGACTCTGGTAGGAATATATGAAAGGATCAGGAAGAGGGAGCTGAAGACCAACGAGGACCACGTGTCTCAGGTTCAGAAGGTGGAGAAACTCATAGTGGGGAAGAAACCGGTGAGGAACAGACAACTTAACTAAAACTCTGCTGTAGCACTTTTTGCATAGTGTTTGACACAAGGCAGATGCCGGAAACGCCCTTGGGTTTACACTGGCATGACTCATCTTAATTAAATGTGTCGCTCCATAGCCCCGCGATTAACTATTGCTTTCGGTTTGTCAAATACAGCCCAAAGACACGCATTTATCCATGGAGAGAGAGAGGGTTGGGCCTTTATCCACACACTGTCATACTCAGTAGCGGAGCGTGGGTAAAATCACTGGGGAAGCCAATCCAGGAAAAAGAAGCCATATTACAAACCTATGTGTTGTGATAATTGCATTGTTTGCTGAATAACCTGTTAGTTCATATGCCTTGCCACCGTGATATATAGGCCTAAGGTCGAGACAATAAGAAGACACAGTGGTAGAATAAATTCAACCACACCTTTGTTTCATCACAAAGCCGGAGAGCAACAGCTGTCTGGTGAAGTCCACAAAACATATTGAATGTAACAAAGAGTTACGTGACCTACAGCATGGTCAAGCAAGTTAATGTTTCCGAAATTATTGATTTAGATCCACGGAGAGTTACCGCAAGTCGCAAAGAAAACGAGCTGCCTCCACTATTCCAGCACCATTTAAACTTCAACATTATCTTATCACCTATGCTTAGTCTAATACAGTGTAAACTAAAAGATACCAAAAACAATTTAGTCCAATCAACGTAAGCTAAATATGATGTGGCTGTCCATGGTACTGATTTCTGTGTGTGTGTGTGTGTGTGTGCAAGGAGAAAAAACATGTTAACTCACCCTACTTTTAGAGAAACGAGAAATGCCAATGCCATCCTCCTCTTTCATGTTGCCTAAACGGTCTATGACTCTGTCATATAGTACACGCTTTTCGTTTTTGTTGTCTTATGCTACCTAGCTAAAATACTTGCTCGCTAGCCTAACTTCCTTTAATGGGCAACGATACGCCGGGCCAGCTAGTTAACATTAGCATACTACATCTAGCTACATGTTGAACTTCCATCCTTTCAGGCCATGGGCACAATTTATGAATTTATGGTTGGATCAGAATAGCCGTTATAATCATTGACCAGTACGGAGAATTAGTCCAAATCCCTATCTCCATTGATGGATAATTTAGGAAAGGGGCGATTTTAGCTAGCTAGCTAGCTACATGAGAACAACAACACAACGAGATTCAACAATTCAACTAAAAAAAATCTGTCAATAATGACGTTTGGCTTGTGATTTTATTTATTTATTTTATTTTATCTTTATTTAACTAGGCAAGTCAGTTAAGAACAAATTCTTATTTACAATGACGGCCTACACCTGCCAAACCCAGACGACGCTGGGCCAATTGTGCGCCGCCCTATGGGACTCCCAATCATGGCCGGTTGTGATACTGCCTGGAATCGAACCAGTGGGTCTGTAGTGACGCCTCAAGCACTGAGATGCAGTGCCTTAGACCATTGCGCCACTCGGGAGCCCGATGTGATGTGATTGGTCTGCAGCCAAATCCAAACTGGCTTCCTTTGACAGTTTTTTTTTTGGTGTGCCTGGACCATTCACAGCTGAGCTCACTCAGTTTAGCTTGGCTATTATAAAATGATCAAGGGAGGCCAAATGCTTGCTGGCTTCCCTTGCATTCAATGCTATGGGCGGCAACAATGTCATACTCTTTCTGACCAGACAGCAACAGATACAGTGCCTTCGGAAAATATTCACACCCCTTGACACATATTCACACCCCTTGACACATTTTGTTGTGTTACAGCCTGAATTTTTTTAATGTATTAAATTGAGATTTTTGGTCACTGGCCTACACACAATACCCCATAATGTCAAAGTGGAATTATATTTTTAGAATGTTTTACTCATGAATTAAAAATAAAAATCTGAAATGTCTTGAGTCAATAAGTATTCAACTCCTTTGTTATGTCAAACCTAAATAGGTTCAGGAGTAAAAATGTACTTAATAAGGCGGTCTGTGTATATTTGTAAACAACAGCTGGTGCATCAAATCTAATACTAAGGAAGTCTCAAGGTTTTGCTCGCCTGTGGTAGAGTATCTCATGATAAGCTGTAGACCACACTATTTACCAAGAGAGTTTTCATCTATATTTTTCGTAGCGGTCTATTTACCACCACAAAACGATGCAGGCACTAAGATTGCACTCAATGAGCTGTATAAGGCCATAAGTAAACAGGAAAACGCTCATCCAGAGGCAGCGCTCCTAGTGGCCGGGGACTTTAATGCAGGGAAGCTTAAATCCGTTATACCTCATTTCTACCAGCATGTTAAATGTGCAACCAGAGGGAAAAAAACTCTAGTCCACCTTTACTCCACACACAGAGACGCTTACAAAGCTCTCCCTCGCCCTCCATTTGGCAAATCTGACCATAACTCTATCCTCCTGATTCCTGCTTATAAGCAAAAACTAAAGCAGAAGCACCAGTGACTCGGTTAATAAGGAAGTGGTCAGATGACGCAGATGCTAAGCTACAGGACTGTTTTGCTAGCACAGACTGGAATATGTTCCGGGATTCTTCCGATAGCATTGAGGAGTACACCACATCAGTCACTGGCTTCATCAATAAGTGCATCAATGACGTCGTCCCCACAGTGACCGTACATACACACCCCAACCAGAAGCCATGGATTACAGGCAACATCCGCACTGAGCTAAAGGGTAGAGCTGCTGCTTTCAAGGAGCGGGACGCTAACCCGGACGTTTATAAGAAATCCCGCTATGCCCTCCGACGAACCAACAAACAGGCAAAGAGTCAATACAGGACTAAGATTGAATATTACTACACCGGCTCTGACGCTCGTCGGATGTGGAAGGGCTTGAAAACTATTACAGACTACAAAGGGAAGCACAGCCGCGAGCTGCCCAGTGACACAAGCCTACCAGACGAGCTAAATCACTTCTATGCTCGCTTCGAGGCAAGCAACACTGAAGCATGCATGAGAGCATCAGCTGTTCCGGATGACTATGTGATCAAGCTCTCTGTAGCCGATGTGAGTAAGACTTTTAAGCAGGTCAACATTCACAAGGCCGCAGGGCCAGACGAATTACCAGGACGTGTACTCCGAGCATGCACTGACCAACTGGCAAGTGTCTTCACTGACATTTTCAATATGTCCCTGACTGAGTCTGTAATACCAAAATGTTTCAAGCAGACCACCATAGCCCCTGTGCCCAAGAACACTAAGATAACCTACCTAAATGACTACCGACCCATAGCACTCACGTCTGTAGCCATGAAGTGCTTTGAAAGGCTGGTCATGGCTCACATCAACACCATTATCCCAGAAACCCACTCCAATTTGCATACCGCCCCAACAAATCCACAGATGATGCAATCTCTATTGCACTCCACAATGCCCTTTCCCACCTGGACAAGAGGAACACCTACGTGAGAATGCTATTCATTGACTACAGCTCAGCGTTCAACACCATAGTACCCTCAAAGCTCATCACTAAGCTAAGGACCCTGGGACTAAACACCTCCCTCTGCAACTGGATCCTGGACTTCCTGACGGGTCGCCCCCAGGTGGTAAGGGTAGGTAACAACACATCTGCCACGCTGACCCTCAACACAAGGGCCCCTCAGGGGTGCGTGCTCTGTCCCCTCCTGTACTCCCTGTTCACCCATGAATGCATGGCCAGGCATGACTGCCATGACTGCATGGCCAGACTCCAACACCATCATTAAGTTTGCTGACGACACAACAGTGGTAGGCCTGATCACCAACAATGATGAGACAGCCTATAGGGAGGAGGTCAGAGACCTGGCCGTGTGGTGCCAGGATAACAACCTCTCCCTCAACGTGATCAAGACAAAGGAGATGATTGTGGACTACAGGAAAAAATACGGGCTGTAGTGGAACAGGTGGAGAGCTTCAAGTTTCTTGGTGTCCACATCACCAACAAACTATCATGGTCCAAACACACCAAGACAGTCGTGAAGAGGGAATGACAAAGCCTATTCCCCCTCAGGAGACTGAAAAGAGTTGGCATGGGTCCTCAGATCCTCAAAAAGTTATACAGCTGCACCATTGAGAGCATCCTGACTGGTTGCATCACCGCCTGGTATGGCAACTGCTCGGCCTATGACCGCAAAGCACTACAGAGGGTAGTGCGTACGGCCCAGTACATCACTGGGGCCAAGCTTCCTGTCATCCAGGACCTCTATACCAGGCGGTGTCAGAGGAAGGCCCTAAAAACTATCAAAGACTCCTGCCACCCTAGTCATAGACTGTTCTCTCTGCTACCGCACGGCAAGCGGTACCGGAGCGCCAAGTCTAGGTCCAAAAGGCTTCTTAACAGCTTCTACCCCCAAGCCATAAGACTCCTGAACAGCTAATCATGGCTACCCGGACTATTTGCATTGCCCTGGAGTTGCTTACCAAGAAGACAGTGAATGTTCCTGAGTGGCCAAGTTAAAGTTTTGACTTAAATCTGCGTGAAAATCTATGGCAAGACTTGAAAATGGTTATCTAGCAACGATCAACAACTAATTTGACAGAGCTTGAAGAATTATGAATAGAATAATGTGCAAAAATTGTACAATCCAGGTGTGCAAAGCTCTTAGAGACTTACCCAGAAAGACTCACAGCTGTAATCGCTGCCAAAGGTGATTCTAACATGTATTGACTCAAGGGTGTGAATACTTATGTAAATGAGATATTTCTGGATTTCATTTTCAATACATTTCTGAAAACATGTTTTCACTTTGTCCTTATGGGGACAAAAAACTGTGTGTAGATGGGTGAGAGAAAAAAAATCAATTTAATCAATTTTGAATTCAGGCTTTAACACATCAAAGTGTGCAATAAGTCAAAGGGTATGAATACTTTCTGAAGGCACTGTAGATACGCTGCACATACTGAGACAGAGGGGAGCTGTTTCGTTTGCTCGAATGCTTACTCCGGTGAGATACATTCAGCCTCTTGCGAATTGAAGGACATTTATGAAACACAGAGAGACGAAATAC